TTGTTGGTGTTGGAAACTGTCCATGTCTATGCTACCGACTCACTGTGTTTTTTGCCCAAATGAATGTGTTACAACAATGCCCTGCTGTGTTTTGGTGGGTCATTGGAGGCAGTCACTATGACGATATCAGACAGTAGACCAATCTTAGTTTTAAAAAAAAATCATCATCTTACTGTAACTCCTAACCCACAATGAAATTAAGTTTCACAGAACCCCAGAAAGTGCTCCACAAAGATGGCTGGTTGACTCGTTAAGTGAATTTGGGGGGGGGGGGGTCTATCACCTGCAACATAGATGCACACAGCTAAAGCTTACCATCAGAAATCATTCATGGCACTAGGGCTGGGCGGTATGGCCAAAGATCCATATCACTGTATTTAGAAAGATCAAATTTGAAACCAGAACCATTCATATGATCTGTAGCTTAAATGTAACAATGTGTGCTCTCTAATATTATACTCCAAGTATAATCCCCTGAACATGTCCTTTAGTCAAGTACTGTCTTTTGACAGAGGAGAAGAGTAATTATAATGCCTGCGATTGAATATCTCCAAGTAATATGCGTTCATGTCAGCGCTGTAACTCAGATATTATAAGATAGACATATATTCAAAGCTGTGGTTATTGTGAAAAGCCTTTTACGTGTGTGTGTGTGTTGAGAAAAGCCCTGATGCCCAGACTCAAAGTGTCAGTGAAGTGTTAAAGACACCTGAAAAACACAAACACACTCCGAGAGAGATAATGTCCATCAGTGTGATGTTAATCATCACAGCTGTATTCAGGCATGAGCATTCCTCCCTTCAACCTGGCTAAGCATTTTTCCAATTACAACAATAACAGAGCTGTAGGGTGTCCAGTTCTATCTTCACCCAGGAAAACCCCCTTTGTCCTGAGCTCCAGGAAGTGTGAATACCTCACAGTGAGTGAAAACATCTCTCTGACATGTGGCTGGGTGGGGAGAGTAATCATTTCTTAGCAAAGCAAATGTGGCTTCTTTGAATCTGAATTGGTTTGATTTTTTGTCCTGTCTATTGTTTGAGCTTAGACCGGTTTTGAGTTTCATGCAAAACTACAGAATCCTCATTGGTCATGATGGTCAATGCATTGTTAATAAGCAATATGACAATGTGATGAACATCAACTGGCTAATGCTACGTTCACACCAAACGCGACTGAGGATTACATACAAGTCTATGCACGGATGCGATGTGACTGGGGCAATGCAAATCTGCGACTTTGCCGCGAAATTGGCGCGCTTTCAGGCAATCGCGGGTTGTTATAAATGACAGCAACGTTTTTAATTTCACAAATTTGGACTAAACAATTCTCACTTTCAAGCACCCTCTTCTTGTGCCTGGCTCCTCGTAGGGCTGGGCGGTATGGCAAAACCCTCCCCCGGTATTTTGTACGATTCCGGCTATATTGCGGTTATATCACAGTATTTTTTTTTCTCTCGAATAAACACATTCATTTATTGACGCCAAAAAGCACAGCTGTTCACCGCTCGTTGTTCAACGCTGGCTGGCCAACATGCTCGAAACTGGCCAGCGAGTTAGCTTGTACGCGTGTTAGCTGTTGTGGTTGCTACAGTATATGGAAGTAAATCTGTGTCATCGGATTTTGAAAGAAAAAGGTGATTGAATTTCTAGCACTGAATATTTATACATTGAAATCATGTATCTGAATGTTTTTCAATGTTAAAATATTCAACTGCAAAAAATTCAACTGCAAAAAATTCAACCGCAAAAAATTCAACCAATTCAATCAAAAATTGTTGGACATGCATCGTCGTGCATGTAAACAGCATAACCTGCATGTACTGTCGGGGTTATGCGTCTGCACATGCTCCGCTAAAGCCGCTGCCCCCCCCACCCACTGCGCTGCAGCAGCTCGTTCCTGGTTTCAAAACTCTGCCAACCACTCCTAATAGCTTGTCGAAGCATCCCAGCATCATCAACTTAATTCAAAACTAGAAGAAAATGCGTATTCTGACCAGCTGTACTCTATGGTTTAACTTCTGCTTAGTTCATGTCCTATACAGTCTGTTAATGTACAAATGTCAGCTGTCTATTACTGAATCTTACAGACACAAACCACACTGATGAAATCCGGTCATCATAGTCGACAAGCCGAAGTTGTATTGGGGCGCTCGCTCCTTTTGCTTGACGCACGCTCCTGATCTTGTATCTAGAATCGATTGCTCTTCCTTGGGTTCCCAGATGTTGAGGTTGAATTTTTTAAGGTTGAATTTTTGCGGTTGAATTTTTGCATTGAATTTGTTCATTGTGAATTTTTTGCAGTTGGATATTTTAACGTTGAATTATTTGCGGTTGAATTTTTTGCAGTTGAATATTTTAACATTGAAAAACATTCAGATACATGATTTCAATGCATAAATATCAGTGCTAGAAATTCAATCACCTTTTTCTTTCAAAATCTGAACACAGATTTACTTGTACATATTGCTAGTGTTGCCACCGGATCAACAAACTTTGCAATAAATCGTTTTCTGATTTAAGTTACGTAGGTTTTTTTTTCAAAACCAAAACCACAGACACATCACCTTCTCTTGGGCACAAGATGTGTTGGTGCATCTCTTGTTGTTCCTCCACCCAGTACAGGTAAGATATTATACAAGTTGCACAAAGCTATGGAACGGTAAATGGAGCAACTTAGCTGTTTTCTGTGTGCATTCTGAAAGCTATCCAGGATGCGTGTGAGGAGGTAGCTTTACAATGGGGATGCTCTGAGGAGGTGTTGATTGGTTGATATGATTGATGATACTTCCATCTGAATGTGAAATTTCCACACTCTGCCAAAGAGAGGAGGTGATGCTATGAGTCATCTTGATGTAGCTGCTTCTAGAGGCAACAGTGTTGGATAAGAGACCTCCAAAGGATCATTCCAGCCTGTTACAACGTGCAAAATAACATCACAATTCACAACGGAAATGCGTTAAAGTGAAAAGGTTTTGCTAAGCTATTTCACACACTTTATAATCCCTGATCTGGATAGTTTTTTTCAACATAAATGCCCATGAGTGCTTTATGAAAACATTGGAATTTTATGATTTTTAAAAATTTCAGTTTTATTTGACCTGTGTTTATTTAATATCTACTCCATTTCAACATTAGCCCAGTGTAGATTTGTTCCTCTTTCCTCAGGTACTTGCACAAGCCTAAGGAAAAAACAATACGTGAAAGAGAAAACTTCTTAGCTTAGTGGTATTCTGCTCACAAATAACACAGGTTATTGTTATTAACAGTCATCAGTCATCTTCTATGCTGCTTATCCTGAGACCTAACCCCCAGAGCAGAGATGTCTTGTGGAAGACAGAGTACCTGGAGAACACATGCAGACTCCACCCAGAAATGGGGTTATGCTCTTTTGTGCAGCGACAGTGCTGACCACGACACCGCCACGTCATGCCAGGGAGAGGGAAACGAGACATGTCAGAGTTCAGAGAATAGAATATTGTTGAAATAACCATATTTTTTAAAGTATGTTCTACAAGGCCATTGTTATATTTTTAATAATCTAACCCACATCCCTTTAAGAATATTGTCCTTATACCACACACTTATTTAAAGAACAATGTATTCATAATCATGATAGGACAGGACATTTGAACAATAATAGAATTGTGGGCTTTCGGTCGAAGGTCAAATTGAGATTTGAAGAATGGCAACACCCCTACCTAAATGTGTACTTTTCAAAGTATAAGAATTATTTCCACATAAATTTGCTTATCAACTAATTCTGTGAGTGGTGTACCTAGTTGAAATGGCGGCCAAAGCTACAAAAATATCTAGCTGTGTTTTAGTCAACAATAATATTTCTTTAAACTCTGTTTCTAAAATCTTTTATCTCAGTCTCTCCCTCTCTTCTGCAATTCTACTCCACTGAGCTCCACAGCCTTCTCTCTTTTGGCTGTTTTATCTGTCCCTCGCTCTCTCCCCTGTTGGATAATTTTATTGCGTGAGGAATGTGTCAAATTGGCTTTTGTATTGGTTATTTTGGAAATCTATCTAATGTTTCTGGGAGAAATCATCGTCATCATATGAATGATCCACAATATCAGTCAGCTACCTACCGCTCACCTGTTGTTGGTTCCTCCAGATACATGTGTGAATGGTGGAGAGAAATATGGTCACATCTGGCATTTTGATGCGTTTTGGAGAAGATTTTGTTACATCATCACAGATACCAGGCATGAAGTAGCACAAACATCTAATATCTGACAAAACAATTTTAATCCCTAACCTGAGTCCAACATAGAGAGGACTGCTTGGTTTTAGACTACTGAACCTCAACATTTTAGACCCGCATAATCTTGGGTTAAAAGAGTGGCGTTACTTGACTGTGAATTAAGATTTAAGATTTTGTCTCTTAAACCGTAAGTGCCATTCAGAGAGAGGAAGTAGTCAAGTTAGTGTAGCCGGTGTGGATCCTTAAAAAGCTTCTGGGATGAAGTTGCTGCTTCTTTGCATTCACTAGGACTGCAGCATATCTGTAAGCTTCCATTAAAAACTAAAGTAGTCTCTATTTTGATAGGCATCATCTGGCACTGCTCCTCGTAGATAACCCACAGTATCCTTTAAGGAATGTTGGCGCACTCCCATAATGAAGGTTTGTGTGGTAGAGTGGCAGATTTGATGGTAGTTTTGTTTGCGTTGAATTTTTAAATTGTTAGATTGTATTTTCATTTTTTCATTGTGGATTAATGTGATGACTACTGTCTTGATTTATTGAATATGTGTTTAAATTGTAACCATTATCATAATCCAAAAAAGGGTCTCTCCAAGTCTGAATATTGAAAATGTACAAAAGAAAAAAAAAGGTTTGTCAGTGCAGGTCAGCAAACATCACCATTAATTAAACATTTGCATTTAAAGACTGTTATATCTGTTGTGCACATTCTAACAGATGTGAAAAATGTCTGTGATTAGATTCTGGTATCCCTGATTATTTAGTATGTGTGTGTTTGGTGTGTCTTGCAGCAATGGAGGAGCTGGTGTGTGAGCTTCGTCTATTCCTGGACCTGTTGGACAGGGAGTATCTGAGTGCAGGGATTCGAGAGAAGAAGATGCACCTCTCCAACATCCTCAACAGAGTCTTGTCAGATAAAGGTGAGCAGGTGAACACTATAAATAGCTGGAGTTGGCAGGGCTGCAAGATTGTCTAAGAACAAATTATTTTATTTTATCCGTCCAGCCATCCATGAGATTAAGAAAGAGAGACGTAGGGATTATTGCTTGATTGTTGTACTAAGTTATAGAATATATAAAAGGTCTTCATACCCCTGTTAAAATGCCACGTTAGACCATTTTTCGCAGACCAGTCTTGAAGGTGTTAAAACAAACTAAAATGCACTCAAAATGCAATCAAAATAAAACATTTTTCAGAAAAAAGGTTATTTATTCTTGGGGTCTGGTCTGTGTAGCCCAGTACCAAATGGCCCATCGAGCGGGACCACTGGTGATCGGGGACCACAGAGATAGATAACAAATGGCAATTTAGTTTGTTCAATAAACAAACAAGGTATATAAACAGCACAAAAGTAAGGAAATTTGTGTTTGGTCGATTATTTTCTTTGTCCTTAGCTTCTTTGTGGCAAAAAATCTTATACTGTTGGAAAGCCTGTTTATTTCCCTTTTTAATTAGTGCCACATTTGTAAGGAACATGCCTTTGTGGGATGACCAACAGCGCTGAGTATGTGGGAAGAGCCCATGAAGCAGTACAGGGCACACACTCTCTACTTGCCCCAAAACGTTACTACATACTACATTTTCTGTCTTGATCTTTCTTCCCAGAACCTTCATTCAAGTTAGACATCCACAGTGGTCTGCCAGCCCCACCTCAGATGCCCCTCCCTGAGATTCCTCACCCCTGGCTGGTAAGACAACTACCAGGAGCCCATGACCTATGATCTTAAAGTGCTTCGTACAAAAGCCAAAGAGTCACTTAACATAATGTTGTTCTACAGCCCCATAATCATTTATGCTCATTAAAGTGCTTCGTACAAAAGCCAAAGAGTCACTTAACATAATGTTGTTCTACAGCCCCATAATCATTTATGCTCTGTTTCAGATGTCAAAGTATCTTGTCATTTTGGAGAATGTAACCACACCTGATTACATTGTGTTTTAAAAAAGACTCACAAGCATTTGCTTTGGATATCTGATTAAATAGAGGTGTTCCTCTAAATACCAGTGAACCCAGTGTCACTCTGTTTCTTCACGGCAGCAAGACTAGGTCATGTCTTAAAATAGATTTATAGAAATAAATCCCGAGTGGATAGCGTTTTAAATGTTTTGAGTTTTGTGCCATGCAATGAGATTTAGTCTTTACCTATAAAGAAATGAGCCAATTTTGTAAAATGTAAAATGATGTTGTAGCCGTGATGGAGCCTCCTGGTTTTGGACTCGTCCTCTTCCTTTCCCACCGCCCAACTTAGACCGGGGAGCCGTCTGGTCTAACCGACTCTCCCCCTCACGCTTGAAGGGGAAGAGGAAGTTGGCCACGGTCATCTGAGCCAGTTAAAAGACTGTAGAGCCAGATACCAACAAGTGATCTGGGCATTGGTATTCTTCATAGGGTGGAGACACTGCAGCGGAGATTGTTTCTAACAGCGGGTGAATTTGCATCCCAGGTGGTAGTAACGCAAGGAGTTGACCCACAGAATGGCCAAGCACTCCTTCTCCACCATACTGTACCGGCCCTCTCTCCTTACAAGTACTTTCTCTCCCGGTGGAAATTGTCTCAGCTTGGCCCCTCTCTTGTACAGCCGTTGTACGCTCCTGGGCCCGGAGCAAATTCTCACGTGACAACTCACCCACTGTGTAGAGTTTTGGTCGCAGGACCACGACATACTGAATTCCGTTCTTACCGGGACTACTTACCTTCTACCAGTGTTCCTGCAGGTTGAGCAGGTTGTGGTTTCCTGCCAAACAGCAGCTTGAAGGGAGAAAATCCTGTGGCCCTCTTGTACTGCAAACAACAGAGAATCAAGCTATCTATCCCACTTACGTTTGTGACTGAATTCCCAAATCATGATTTTTTATGTTTTATTCAAATTAGATGCCTGGCCAATAAAATTGGGCCATTATCCGGTCCATTGTTTTATTGCTACCCATAGTGAGCAGAGTGAGAAAAATTATTTCCTGATGGTTTTTGGCACCACTGGTGGTTTTATTGTGTGAGGAATGTGTGAGAGTGGCTTTGTCTCCAGCCCCAGAGCTGCTGTCCAATATCTAAATATCTCCTGCTGCTGTTCTAGTGAATTATGGTTATTTTGGAAATCTGGAAATTTCTAGGAGAAAAGATCGTCAATAACAGCGATGCTCTGAAAGATGATGATATTAGGGGTGCACCGATCCGATATTAGGATCGGATATCGGCCGCAATACTGACAAAGTAGCTGGATCGGGGATCGGAAAAATGAACCGATCCACGGGCCGATCCACGTTTTCTTTTACTCTCCTCGTCGCAGCCGGACCTACGTCGTTTGTCAGCTTCACGTGCGTCGCGCATGCTAAAAGCTACATGAAGCGAACAAGAGAGTCGGCTGTGTGGAGATATTTTACGCTTGCCACACCAACTAGTTCGTCAGCTGTTTTCAATGTCTGCCAACTAAATGTTTCGAGGGGAGGTGGTATCACTGCAAGGTGCAATACTACCAATTTAATCAAGCACATCCAGAAACATCATGCTAAGGAGCACGCTGAATTCCTGCAGCTCAGCAAAAAAAAAGGAGCGGACAATACAGCCCAGGAAACTTTGAAGGATGCATTTCAAAGACGCGAAACGTTTCCGAAGGAAAGCTTTAAAGCTTCGGCGGAGGGTCACCTGCCCGCTGCGTGCGCACGTCACGACTTCAGCAATAGTATCGGATCGGTATCGGGTATCGACAGATCCACAAAGCCCAGGGATCGGTATCGGTATCGGGACTGAAAAACTCGGATCAGTGCACCCCTAGATCATATGAAAGTTCATATGATAAGTGCGGGTATGACAATGCTCTATCAGGGCGCACCGGTTGACCATCAATTCGCATCACTATGTCAAAGGCAAAGTGTAAAGAACCAACACAAGACTGCTCCAGTGGAAGATCCTCCATGGAGCGTAATTCGGGAGTCTCCATCTGTTCCCCCTCTCTGTATGCAGTGTCGGACAACCTTGCGTTGCCGCTGAGCACAGCACACATCTTGCATGTCCCTGTCTGTCGTGAACGCACACCATGCACTGCCCCTCTAGTTTAGAAAACCCTGTCCAATCTCTCCCTAAGATTAGGGGGTGCGTAAGGCGGGAGCTAACCGCAACCTTCACTCTATGCTTTTCCCCCCCGAAACTAATCTCTATTGGCACCACTGGGTAATCATAAACTTCCCCATGCCCATACTTAATATTGACCTAGGCCTCTGGTCGACCTGTAAGCACTGTCTGGCCCACCTCCATCAGCAGACACTCCCGCCGGTAGTGTCCAGGCTGCCCGCACCTCCAACACTTCTGCCCTGACGGTTGAGGAACCCTCTGAGGGTTGGGAGGAGCCCAAACAAAGAAATGCACTAATCTGACAAACACTAATCACTTATCCAGCTCCAATGCAATCTACTCGTGATCATTCAGCTGTAGCTACAATCTGCTAAACTGCTCGTCCCTCCCTCACTGAGAGAAAAACACTCGACTAGATCACGACTCTTTGCTGTCCTTGCTCTGAAATGGTGGAACGAGCTCTTTGATGACACCAGGACCGCAGAGAGCCTTCACATCTTCCACCGCAAACTAAAGACACACCTCTTCAGACTCTACCTCGACTAAAAGACTAACAAATTGTAGCACTTAAATTGTACTTATAACGCCACTTATCCATAGCAAATTTTAAATTTGGCTTATTTGAGCAAATTGCACTCTTGTTTCTTGCTCTTCTAAGTTTGTATTCCTAAGGTTGAATGCACTTGTAAGTCGCTTTGGACAAAAGCGTCAGCTAAATGACATGTAATGTAATGTAACACAACGTTTATCTGCAGTTATCATCTAACTACCATCACTCTGTGTCCTCCCAAACCTGAACCGACGTGCTAAAGGATTATTACACCACCCGATGAGAGTTGTTAAGGTAGAACATTAGTCAACCTCTTTGTGTTACTCATTGGAACTGAAATATGAAAATATGTATAATTTATGTGGATCTGGTGTCAAGCTAAATACGTGCAGTATCTGGGCCAATAGCAATCCTCCAGATCAGATGATCAGAGTATCTTGAGTCCAAGCACAACACACTGAATTCAATTTGAAAAAAATAGTTCAAAAAGTAGCTTATATTTCATCCACCTGTCATACTTGCAGGCACATTTTAAGTAACAGCACAAAAGTGAGATCCAAAACCCAGCCCTAGATATAAATGTGTATGATGATATTTACTAATCCAGTGGAATGCTGAAGCTGGGTGCTGTGTTTAATGGTGTTTTTAAAGTGGTTAAGCATTAGGAAGTCTGGTCATGGCTTCAGTCTAACACACCGCCTTGCATCTCCTTGAAATGTCAGTGATGACTCTTACATGTCTGCTGTAGCAGCTGAGGAATGCCAGGGTGTGTGTGAGTGGTTCTTCAGTGTCAGAGCAGATGCTTTTAATGGAACGCAGGTGGCAGTGATGGCTTGCAAAGCCTTCTCTCCATAACAATAAGCCACAACACTGTGTTCAACATCTACATCTTCTCACAGACACACACACAAGCTTTTTGTCCCTGTCTTTGTGGCAACATCAAACTACTTTCACACAAACTGGAAAATAATACACCAGAATCTTCTTCCAAATCTTCATTGTCACAATTTCATAAATGGAACACACAACCAAAAGTCAAGATGGAGTTCTAAAAACAGAGCGGCATCCATCTGTTACCATTGCAATGTTTCCCCTACCATTATATTAGGGGAGTGCCCCTACCCCCCAAGAAAGTCTTGAAAGGTTTATTTACGCACGGAGTTCCGCCCTGATGGGTTCACAAGGACGCATGCACACACAGGTTAGCGCACACCCAAGTTGTGGGCAGAGCATACAATGAAAAATGACAAAGCATACAAAGAAAATGACCATGTTACAGAAGCAGAAACACACTATGCGTTTGAAGCTTTGCATTCAGATTTGTATCATAGGTGCAAACTTGTTATTGACGGTCACACACACACACACTGTCAATGTCTTTGGGAATCAGGGGGACCCAGCAGGGTATCCACTAAACTAAAGAGCCATAAGCACCCATTTCAGTTGTATGGAGCTCCGTCTTTATTGAACCCTCCTGTGGCATTTCTGTGTGAAAGGAAGAGGTGGATTAAGAAGTCTAGTTCATGAAAGACATCAAACAGATAAAATCCGTTTAATCTGTTTCTCAGTCACCCGCTGGCACGTTTTACTGTTAGGCTCTGTAATAATCAATATTATAAATATATATTGTGTGTGTGTGTGTGTGTGTGTGTGTGTCAGAGTTTAAATGAGCTTCACTAGTGCCTTATTTCAGACAAGCATAACTGTATATACTCACAGAGAAACGAGATCTTTTCAAGTCAGTTTGACCTCCTCCACACCCCTCACCTCATAAATCACTTCAAGGAACTAAGAAAGTGGGTCCCTGCTCCATGTTACAATGTGCCACGCTTGAACACGTATTTAAGCCCACAAAAAAGAAGGTCTGTCTCTAATTAGGTCAAAATGACCACTAAGTGTGATGGAATCCCACTGAAGCTGTGTAGGACTACAATGTTCTCTCTTTATCTTTCTCTCTTTTTTTCATATCCAGGATTCATGTCACACTAAAGCTGCTCTTTAATCTTTGGCATGAAGTATGTGCCTGTCATCAGCAATCTTATTTGCAACTGCCTAAGCCACATAGATGGTGT